AATGTGAACAGTATGGCATTTATTAGACTTATAATCAGACTAAAACTGAAAAAAGAAACAGATGCTTAACATTGGTTTTATTGCAGGCTATATGTGCTGACTTTCTGACTGGAAATCAGGGCTCAAGTTGTCCAAAGGTTTAATGTATGTGAATCATCCAGAAGCCAGTGATAAGTAAGAGTGAATGCATTCCTCCCCATTACTGTTACTGAGACGTTACCTGGTATTCGTGTTGATCTTGATTCTCTTCCTCTGCTTCAGCATCCTCCTCCACCTCAGCTTCCTCTTCATCTCCACTTTCCTGGTCTCTCTGCTTTTGTCTCTTCCTGCTAACTGTCTCTATCCGACTTGGTGGGTCGGGTTCATAGTTCAAAGTAAAGAAATTGTAGGCTTCCTCAGCCGTTGGGATGTCTTTAACTACCTTTATGTAGAAATAAAAAAAACGTATGAAAAAAAAATTCATTTTAAGAATCTTAAAACTCTTTAAACATCTGTGTTAACCTTACTGCTTTAGCAGCTTCTCTGAACTTGACTCTGGAGCGAAGGGCCAGGGGGTCGTCCTGTCTCCCTGCAATGACTGGATCGACCTGGTAAAAGTTGGACAGTTACCTCTACAGCTGGTTTTTATTAAATGTGCTGTGTACCGGATCAACTCACCTCCCTATCAAATCTGGTTGCAGTGTTTCTGTTTTTGAGCCTCTGCAGTCGGCTGACAGGCTCGGTAGAAGCTTCTGAGGCTTCCTGTTGCTGCAGGCTATCTCCTTTAGACTGTAATGTGAACGACAGACCTTATGTGTCAACATATTCACAAAAAGATGAGTGGTATGCTTTTGTAGAATAATACGCTACAAAAACTGTATTTACCCTTGCTGCTCTCAGCTTCTCTTGCAGATGTCGTGTCACTAATGTGTCTAAGTGCTGAGAGGTGGAAGAATGCTCCGATCTTACAGAGAAACCTAAGAAACCAAATACATCAAGACATAAGGATTCATTTTGGTCAGGATCATCTTTTGTGTCCTAAAAGGAGCACAATTGTATTTCTGATTAAAAACTGATCTTCTATCAGAAGTCAGCAAGATAACTGCTTTGCTGCAGTTACGTTCAACCTGACATTACTTTGCATATAATGTCTCTTAAAAATATAAATTATGATCATAAACCCCAATTCATTTTATTGAACTATGTCATAGAATATAAAAAAATTTTTTGCTTTCTTTTTTATTAATTTGTTAAATGGGTTTCCATCAAGGCTAAAATCAACGCTCCTGCTCTCCATATATGGATGGTTTAGTTTTCACTGTTCTTTCTATTATTATTAACATAATAAGCGGCATAAACCCACAAGCAATTCCATAAATTTTGTCCTGAAATAAGCATTTTTTCTAAATGTGAAACCGAGCCCACTTAAGTCGCTAACTTAACACAGTTCTAAAAACTATTATTTAAAATATATTTATGTTTTAATTTAGAGATAAAGATGAAAGGCTGTGAAGTTGCCTTTAGCTTAACTCATCTGTTGCTTCCAAAACTTTACCAGCTTTCATTTGCATAACTAAAAGAAATTCTCTACAGAAATTAAAGTAAATAACACAATTGGTAGTATTATAGTGGCCAGCATGGCGAAGCTGCTAGGATTGTTGAAGCACAAAGTCCTAACTTTGCATGGAGTCTGCATGTCCTCCCTGTGCATATTTGGCTTCTCAGAGTCCATAAACACGTGACTTTTAGGCTGATGGTGTCTTTAATTTGCCCTTTGATGTGAATGTTTGTGTGCATGGTTATGTATCTATGTGTTGCCCTGCGATGGACTGACGATCTGTCTATAGAACACCTTGTCTTTTGTCGAAACACTGCTGGAGATAGACATTAGACCCCTCTGAGCCTTACAGTATGATCGATATAAAAGATCGATGAATGGTTAATGTTGAGGCACCTCTATGTTTCATAATCTTAAAGAGATAAAGTTAATATTTCCAAATAGCTAGAAATGGGAGTGTATTTGTTGCCTTCATTATTCTCATGTTAAATTGGTAATGAAGCGCACACACAGTTGACAGTTAGGATCCCCTGTATGTCTACAATTATATTTGTGTTTTTGAAAGATGGGAAGTCTATGAATTCTATTCGTAGGTAGTTATTGTTTTTGTTTTTTGTTTGTTTTGTTGTTTAGTTTCAGACTGTTTGCTGCCTCTAATAGTTTTTCTTTTAATAATAATAATAATAATACTTTTTATTTAACAGCGCCTTTCTTGACGCTCAAGGTCACTTTACAAATAATACAAAAAAATAAATAAAAAGAGATGAAAATACAAAATACAGATGCAGGAACATAAATAAAACAAAACAAACAAAAACAATCATGGATAGGGAAAAGAGCAGTATATTCACAGATAAGCGAGCTGGAACAGATGGGTTTTGAGTCTGGCTTTGAATAAGGGGAGAGAGTCAATACTGCGGAGGTCGGGAGGAAGTGAGTTCCAGAGCTGGGGAGCAGAGCGGCTGAAGGCTCTGCTCCCCATGGTGACAAGTCGAGCTGGGGGTACAGTGAGGTGGATGGAGGAGGAGGAGGATCTAAGGGAGTGGGAGGAGGTGGCAATGTGAA